TCCCCCGTGAAAACAGGACTTAGACAATAATGATATAAATGTCCTATCTTTTAGGTTCTATAATTTACTACTAATGCAACTATATGTACTAGAAAACATATAACCTTTGATACTTGTAATTGGTGGTGCTTTGTAGTATGGATACTAATATTAATAGCTAATTTAATTATCATTCTAAATGGTCACATTCGTTATTTTCTAAATATAAATTTGTAAAAACATTTGTACCTAAACTACAATTCGTAGACATAGAACATTTAAATACCAAATAATTCAAATGCATTATTATTCATTATAACCCCAAATAATTTCTCCATGACTAAGCTGTTTATATTTTTATAACCTCACGTTAATATATTAGTCTCTTATAATTCCCACTAATTATCACTATCATAATTTTAAAAAAACGTTACAACCATTCATCTTCTTACTAAACCACTATAAATCTAGTCTAATCATATTATTTATGATTTATCTATAGTAGAAAATTACAGTATCAACTATGGACTCTGCTATGTACTTTACCAAGTATGTAACATGTGTATTCTTACTGATCGTATAGCATGCTTGTTTGTGGAAAATTTGTAGTAAAAAGACAGTGAAAGAAAATTGATTTGTATTCTCTCAAAATCAATTACAATTTGGATTTCCTGATTACAAAAGAGAGGAGAATGAATTTAATTCTCCCCTTTGTTTAATTCTGGGTTCTTCACGGTGGCGATGGAGTACCTCCCTCGAATGCTCGCGTCGAGTTTGCTCTCCGTTGACGATCCGCGCATCTTGATTCACTGGAACGTGGTCTTCTCCTCACGATTTGACGTTGTGGAGGATTTGCGTGGTAAGTTTGAAAATAACTCTTAACGAGTTGATAACTCAGAGCGAGTTTAGAAAAACTCTGTGAAAGAGTTGATTTAACCGAAATCGGTTAGTAAGCCAAGGATGAATAAGATCCTGTTGCTGGTCTCCAAAGCTCCAACAATTCCCCTCAAAAGCTAGCCGAAGATCTCTTCTTTACTGCCCAAAAAAGAAGGATCTGAACTCAATTGAGTTTCGAGGTATTTATAGGGGATTAAGGAGGTGTAACCGCCCCCCCTTAATTTGCTCCTCAATGGGCTGAGTGGGGTGTAACCCCCCCCCCTAAACAGCTCCACAAATCGTGGGGAAAACGGTTTTGAAACCGTTCTGTTAGTGCTTTGAACGAGTCAAAACGCCAATCTGGGCGTTCTGGGCCGAACTCTGCGTTTTAGACTAAAAAACGCAGAGTTGGGCCTATTTTAGGTGGCTGAACGCACAGGCCACGATGCGTTGTAAATCTGAAATGCAGAGTTGGGACGCAGAGATGAACTCTGTGTTTTGGACCTGAGACGCAGAGTTGGGACGCAGAGATGAACTCTGCGTTTTAGACCTAAGACGCAGAGTTGGGACACAAAGATGAACTCTGCGTTTTGGATCTGAGACGCAGAGTTGGGACACAGAGATGAACTCTGCGTTTTGGATCTGAGACGCAGAGTTGGGACGCAGAGATGAACTCTGTGTTTTGGCTCCGGAATATAGCCACGACCTCTGCGTTTTGAGTTTGGAACGCAGCCACGACCTCTGCGTTTTGGATCTGGAACGCAGCCACGACCTCTGCGTTTTGAGTTTAGAACGCGGGCACGACCTCTGTGTTTTGAATCTTGGATGCAGAGGTGAGCCTTAGGTGGGCTCGGCGAGCTTTAGGCTAAGTCCGATGTTCTGACGAAGTCCAGTCTTGCAGACGGACTTCAGAACATAACTTGCTGCGAAGAACAGGTCATAACTTTCAAACCGTAAGTCGGAATTGGACGAATTATATATGAAAATCGGCTATCTCGACAAGACGGAGCCGACCAAACAAACCTCATAGGGTTAGGTTTGCTCCGTCAGTTTTGCCAAATTCCTTACGGTTTGAGAGATATCTGAGTTTTAATATGAAGAGACCGTCAATTTGTAGTCTCTTTTGCTAGAGCGTTGCAAAGATCGTCACTTCATAACCTTCGTCTTGGCTCCTTAAAAATATGAGAGTCATCAGATTGTAACTCCCGATGCTGATTGTGAAGGCTGTTGAATTAGAGCTTTCATCAGTTGTCGTGAAGATCGTCAGATTGTAACCTTCAGCGATCTACGTGAAAGTCTTCAAATTATGGCCTTCTGGAAGTCGTCAGATTGTAACTTCCATCATCGGTATTTGATGGGGGATAAGCTATCTATTGTGATTTTTAGACAGCCTACAATGCTTATTTCTTATTGCATGGTGAACAAGTTGTTCATGTTGTGGAGTAACCAAAATAAGTGGAGCCACATAGGAGATCTATAAGGGTGTTTGTCCAAAATACGTTTAAAGCAGTGATTCAGGTTAGTGTGATTATTATTGCCTTTTTTAATATTATTTCTCAAATAACTTTTTCCCCCGTGAAAACAGGGCTTAGACAACAATGATATAAATGTCCTATCTTTTAGGTTCTATAATTTACTACTAATGCAACTATATGCACTAGAAAACATATAATCTTTGATACTGGTAATTGGTGGTACTTTGTAGTATGGATACTAATATTAATAACTAATTTAATTATCATTCTAAATGGCCACATTCGTTATAATACCAAATAATTCAAATGTATTATTATTCATTATAACCCCCAAATAATTTCTCCATGACTAAGTTGTTTATATTTTTATAACCTCACATTAACATATTAGTCTCTTATAATTCTCACTAATTATCACTTTCATAATTAAAAAAACGTTACAACCATTCATCTTCTTACTAAACCACTATAAATCTAATCTAATCTTATTATTTATGATTTATCTATGGTAGAAAATTACAGTATCAATTATGGTGACATGAG